TTTTTTTTTTTTAAGGATGCTTTCACTTAACTAAAGATAACACAACCTTTATAAATTTTTTTTCTTTGAACTTCCTGCACACAAATATTTATTAGAGTATTAGTTAAAATACTTACCGCACACTAAACGCACAACGCCCTTATGCTGATAAAATAGGAGAAAAAAGAAAAAAGAGAGAGAGAATAACGCCCTTCATAGCTGGATAATATTAACTGCACAAAAATCACAACATCTTCCAAAAGTTTGATAAATGCTAAGCAAATATGCTTCCCGTTTAAGTCTACTTGGAACCAAAAAGACACTGCATTAAACAGTTTCCACATCTTAACAACTCTGCTTTAACAGATTGAAGAAAGCATAGTGCCAACTAGAGAATAGCATGAACCATGCCATGTTAAAAGTCCTGGGAGGTACGCTTTTTGTTTCGTTGGGCCTCAATTGCCTCCCTGTCATAAAACATGGGGGTTAAGGTAAATTATTAGAAAAGGAACGGATACGGCAAGCAGAAAATCAGGATACGAGAATTTACAGAAGGGTTTGAAGAGTTTGTCAGTGTGCATTACATAAGTTTCAACAATCTCATTTTGCTTTATAAATATGAAAACTTGCAGATTCCATGACTGGCAACTGGAGGAAAGAAATAGTTTATTTAGACAAACAAAACCCTCGAAAGAAAACTACCGGAAAGCACGTTCAATCTCCTTGTTTTTTCTATCCATCTTCCAACCATGATAAAAAGCATCTGCAGCTTTCTCAAACTTCTGGGATTATGTAACATGAAACTCAGATCGTGGAACAAATAATCTCAACATAAGATCACCGTAAACTTTCTAGAAATGAGCTTACATTCAACACCATCCATGCTGAACCCGCCCTATAATAAAAAACCTTTGGCCAATCAGGCCTCAGTGCAATACAAGCTTGAGCATCTTCAAGAGCCAGCTCCCCTTCGTTCATTCGGGACCAGCAGAGGCTTTGGTTGGAAAGGACAGCTGCATCAGTAGGGTTGATAAAGATAGCCTGCAATGTCAGATATCTAACGGTTAACAGGAAAATAATACTATTTTTGCCTGTATATTTTATGATATAGGTATAAATTAATACAGGTTCAAATTGTTGAAACATTAGAACTAAGATTTAAAAAATGGCCTTTGCACCTCTGTATACCACTGTATTGCACCAAAATAACCCCTTTTGGTTGAAGACCTCCGCTCCATTTGACTTTGAGGCAAAAATAGCTCCAATGACTTCCTCTTTTTCTGCACAATTTTCAACACAATAAATAACAGTCCCACAATATATGGAGCGCACGACCCAGGAGCACCCCCTACAATGAATACTTACAAGTACAATTTGCAATTTAAGAAAACAAGTTTATGTTACCCTCAAATTAATAATTAACATTTACCAAACCCCCTAAAAAGCATGAATGGATAAGAATCTTGTATAATTGTATTACCTCTTCTCTAGCCCCATCAGCGCAAACATGCTTAAATAGTCCAAAAACACTCCATTCCGAAACAGTAGGAACAGGAGAAGTTTCAGGAAAAAGAATCAAAACACCTCGACGGTTACCACTCAACGCTGCTTGTTCAACTGGTGTTATCCCTAACTGTGACTTAAATGTGTTAAATTTACAAAAATCAAAACCGTCAAATGGCTCTGGCTGCTCAAGGTTAACTACGGTTACAGTTCTAGACTTGTGTCAACCCACAGTGTTGGTAACATTTGGATCAGCTCCAGCATTCAGTAGGCATTTAATTAATTCTGTTTCCCCTTCAGAAGCTGCAAATCCTAAAGGAGTCATTCCCTTTGAACCACAAATGTTTGGATCTGCTCCCACCTATAAATATGTAGTGTAACAGTAGGAATGTTGTTAAAGGGAAAGAAAAGTCATAAACTGCACTGACATTTGTTAGGCAATCCATTTGCAGAAGCACAGGCACACA